CCTGCCTGTGCTGCGCAGCGCGGGGCTGCGGACGGGGCTGGGGCTGGGGAGGGCTCCCCCCTCGGCGGGGGCTGCCACCCGCGGTAGCTCCCGCACCCCGCGCACTTGGCAGGGGCGGGGAGGAGGGGACACCCTCTCCTCGCCGCCGCAGTTTTGCGGGAGGATGAAGAGGATGGACAAAAGCAGGAACGAGCTCGGGGGTTGTGGGCACCGATGCCAAAATGAAAGAGAGCAAATAGCAGGAAAACTTTACCGCTCCTATGCCTTTTTTTTTTTTTTTTTGAGGAAAAATAATGGAGAAAGCAGAGCTCTGTGTATCTAGACACTTCTTTTTGAAGGCTTTGGATTTTTCTTTCCGAACCTTGGAAGTTCCCCAAAGCTGCTGCCAGAGATCTGCGGTTATTGCAATTAATAATTAAAAGAGACATATATAATAAAGGGTAGGGAAGAAAATCATCCAACAATAGCTGTATGTCATAGGAGGGAGTTTCTCTTTTTACGTGTGCGTTTGCAGAGAGATTTTTATCAGTCATATGGAATGATTGGAGCATCAGTAAATTAATTTTAAAATGTTAATTGGTAATATGGAAGAATATTGATTTTTAAGGTGAATTTTGTTGTACTGTGTTTGAACAAATTTCCCTCAGTAGCAGAGTTTTGCTTTCTTAATCTTTTAATATATTTTATGTCCTGAAGTTCTCCTGTCTTGGGGAGAAAGACACCTACTTTAATTGCTGCAGAGGGTGATAGTGATTTCTGAAGAATGATTGTAAGTTCCTCAGCATCAACCACATACCCAGAAGAGCAAGCAGAGAGCATTGAGAACAGATACATAAACATATTCACATGAGCATATGTGACTGTGTGCTTGTGCATTTGCAAAAGTGTGAATTCCTGTAAATAAATTGCTCTTTAAAGGACTTTTTTGCAGATCAATGGCAAACAGACCTCTCCTGCATCTTAGGATACACTGATTCATTCCTTTATTTTTCAGTAAGTCTTCTACACTCCCTCCACATGTCGCCTTCCTTCTGCTGAATTTACAGACTTCCTTATGCTTCACATTGTTTACCCATGGCTTCTTTTGACCTTTGCTTTTGCTCTTGAGTTTCTTCCCCCTCTTTTTTTTTTTTTTCCTTGTCAGGTGTTCCTTCATGTCCCTAAATTCTCTTCCAAGTTCAGTTCCTCTTTTCTTCCATCGTTATGCATTTATAATTTTGACTTTGTAAATCACAGTAAAAAATAGTGAAAATGCAGTATTTTTTTCTGTTCTGTAATGGCTGAATGGTTCTTCCCCGATAGTAGCTAATGAACTTGGAAACAGGTGAAACATACAGTTATTTCAAAGTACAGTCGTATACATTCATGCCAAATATAATAGATTAGGAGTTTAGATATATGTCCATTATAGGGGCACAGCAAGCTACTCCTTATCAGCTGAACGGCACAGCAAGCTACTGCTTATCAGCTGAACTGAGGAGTATGGTTCCAGTCTTTTTCAAATGTAATGGTAACATGTTCACTTAGAATTAATTTGAAAGAGTTTTGTGTGGTCGAGTGTGATCTGATGAAGAGTCTTTCCCAGAAATTCCTGCATAAAGCCTGTAACTTATGTTGGAGTTGGAACATATATTTTATTGAAACACCCAATCTTGATTTAAAGACTTCAAGAGACAGGAAATCCATCATTTTTCTGGTAAGTTGTTCCAGTTGTTACCTATTCTCATTTGTTAAAACGTACATTTGTCTAGCTTCAGTTTCTAATGTTGGCTATCAAAGATGAACCCAATATTCCAGTAACAGTATCACTCAGTGCTATTCCTAGAAATAATGCCATCTTCTACTTGATACTCCCCCTGCTTAGAAATCTCGGGATCATTTTTGCTAGTCTGGAAAGTATAGGAAAGAAAGGGGAAGAGGCCACCATAGCAGTCTTGTTTAAGGGAGGTGAGGGTAAAAAAGAGACAAGTTGCAGTGTCAAAGGGCAAAAACTCGCATTTCAGCAAAGTTTGGAGAAGTGAAGGGAAGATGATCAAGTAATTGATCAGAATGTTTATCTGAAAGAAAAACTGGAGACAGTAAAGGCAAAAGAGATGCAATGAAGATTAAGGCTGGGAGGATAGAAAGAGGAGATAAGTTTTACATTGCCTCTGCTACTCGCTGTGACACACTGCTAAGCAAGGGGAGGCCAAGAGGGAGAGTTTTTAAGTTTTCCTGGTGGCTGTCAGAAGGCCATTGCATGGAGCAACTTCTGAATTGAGGATCTTATTTCCCCAAATACCTCCTGGGCAACCCAGGAAGGTTGTGATAGGTGGCGAAGGGAGAGAAAGCAAGTCTCTGAGACCTACAATGAGAAGAAGTCCAGAAATCTCAGAGAAATTAAGATATGATTGAAAAATGTTTTACTGAATACATAAAGAGTGAGGAAGGGATAGGCTAGAGGGGGGCTGGGACTGCTGGGTTTGTGGCAGTGAATGCTTGCTTTGCCTTAGAGCATATAACAGCGCTTATTGGCCTTGCCACTAGAGAGGACTCTTCAGAGCATGAACTGAGAGGCTGTCTGTCACAGCACCTGGATGAATCCTGCTGCAGAAGATGCATACATAGGATGTAATTTCCCTCTGGCAAGGACTGGAAACTTTTGCCTGTTGTCTTGATCAGATGGACTTGTGCTCGGACCAAATGCATTTATGAAAAGACCCTGCAGGAAGAGGAAGAATATGAGATTTGTGCTATAGAAGATAGGAAGGCTATATATTAGCCAAGAAGAATAAAACCGCACAGAAAAACATATAGGAGGTATTCATCTTAAAGGAATACCAGGCAGGGTATGTAGGAGACATAGGTATTTTGCAGTATGGACAGAGCTCTTTGATGCACATGTACTGGTAAATGCCTACATGCCTAGGTAGCAACATTGATTCATATTTAAATATTCTTGCATGCAAAATGCAAATCCCAGCTACACAATCCATTCAAAAGGCATGTCCAGTCATTTAATCTCACCACTCCAAGGAACCCCTTTACTCAGTTTTTCAGGTACTTTTCTTCTACAGCCCAAATATCTTTATGTTCCACTCTGAATGTCACTTCAAAGCTGTTGGCCCCAAATATGCTTGTTGCTTCCACTATAATTAGTGGCTGATAGAAAGCTATACTGTCTATCTTTTTGAAGTGATGTGTGAGAGAGGGGGCAGTTGTCATTTGACCATAAATGGTAAGCGTTGTTATCCCGCTGCATGTTGTAACAGTTGTACAGGGTCAGTGCTCTGTCATTAGTGGGGCTAGACGTGACACTGTTATGCCTATAAAAGGCACACAACTGAACTCCCCATGTGGAATTTGCAGGTGAATCACGCACGTGAGGATAGTAGACAGCTTTGGTGTGAGTTTTTGGTTTAATCTCTAGCATACTTCCTTCTCCCATCCTACCTCCGTTCTTCAGAGAGTGTCTGGAGATATGTGCCTTTGTAAGGGAGAAGAGGACTTGACTGAGAAAGGAGGACAAACTACAACTGTACAAATTATCAAGGATAGAATGGGACAGTCTGGAGGAAAGGGGAAGAGAAGGGTAATTTCAGCAGCTAGAAACAAACCAAGACCCACCACCAGATTCTAGGTGCACTGGGGCAGTGACATCATGAAAACAGACTATACTCTAATATTGGCCTGTGTACCAATGCTGCTAAATAAGCGTCTCCAGAGTAGGTAAATACCTACACCACAAAGGCTCCCCATGGTATAGCCTCCTGGGCACCAGGTTCAATCCAGAGACTGCACTCAGTCGTCTAGATTAGCCTTGCTTCAAATGCAGTTCTCGCTGCAGCTTGCGCTGTGTGGTCACTGGAAATGCTTCAGCAATAACAAAAATGGTAGAGAAAACAATTCACTCAGCACCCTGTCCTTTCCTAGTCCTTTCTTGCCTTATGATATGTTGTAGCTCACATATCTGTCAAATAGATCCATTAGACTGTAAACTCGGGGACAAAGATATGTCTTCTGTGAAGTGCTTAGCACTTCTGGGCAATAAAAAATAAATAAAATACAAATCATCTGTCTAGAGTTTTTTACACTCAACCTTTTGGCATGGTCTCACATCACCTTCTGAAGAGATACCAGCAGTACTGAATAGATTACCAGTGCATCAGACCAAGATACAGTTTTCTTTCAATAGCGAGACGCTTTCTGCTTTATAGCGTTTTTTCGTATTTTGCTCTTATTGACTTAATCTTAATTCATCTAAATGCTAGGGTAGAAAAACCAGGTAATTATCTTTGACCATGCTTCTCATTAAGGGTGTTATGTTGGTACTAAGACAAGTATTGTACAATTCATGTGGCTTTAACGTATTGATCTGCTGCTCCCATTACTTTACACCATATCATATGCTAACATCATCTTTTGGAAATTTATCAATCATAAGAAATGAAAGTGTTATGGTAAATTACCTTGACCGTGAAAGGAGAGTCTCTGCTGAGGTTATTGAGACCATCCTGTAGAAA